TATATATATATATATATATATATATATATATATATGTGTATATATGTATGTATGTATGTATATATATATATATTGCTTGCTACGTGTACTGCGATAGGCTAACCGAGACTTGTGCATTTGCATATTGTTGCTCTTTTGTTAGTTTTGACTGCTTTTATTGTCCTCATTTGTAAATCGCTTTGGATAAAAAGCGTCTGCTAAATGACTAAATAAATAAATAAATAAATAAATAAATAAATAAAACACACACATATAAGACATGCAGTAATACCTTCAGGAATTTAGTGAAGACCACAAGCACAATCAGTATTTGGACAGGGAAGGTGGCACCGTACGACACCGCCAGCGCAAAGTTTCTGTATGCGCACAAAGTGAATGAGAGAGATTTCAGCTGTGTTAATTTAGAAAAATTTAGAACACCGCTTTTAAACTTTTTTTTAATGTGTGTGACGAAATAAATAACAGGCAATGTGCAGTGTGTTACAATCAACATGAAGCCAGTTTTACTACTTTAATTTGATCCTTGCCAAAAATACAGATAAAAAACTGTTGTAAAATAGTTTTTTTTTTCAGGGTATTTAACAAGAAGAAATGTTTTAATCATTATTGATTGGTAAGAATGGTCTTAGTATGACAGGTGACTGAAATAGCTGAAAATACAATCGATTTGTAAGATTTTAGAGGCTTTTAAATCAAGGATTCCCAAACTTTTTTGCCCCTTTGAGCTAAAATATCATCAAGTTTAATAATTGTTATAATAATAATAATTATAATATAATTAATACAATTTTGATATTTCAGAAATTTTAATGATCACGACATGCAGCTAAACAAAAAATATTAAATCAGTTTTAATACGTGTTTGGATTGTTTTTATTTTAAAATGATTAAATGTAACATTTACTCACTTTTGCGAGGTCAGCATCTGAACCACAAACACAGAGATGAAGATGAAGGCCAAACATATGACAGAGCGATGAAGCCCCTGGACTTCACTTAACGAATACTGACACAAACAGACACACAGTTAGAAAATAAGAGTGCAAATCAACAGCAACAAATGGAAAAACACATGCTTCTAAATGAATAAATGTGACGCTAGAGCACAAAACCAGTCTTAAGTCTCTAGGGTATATTTGTAGCAATAGCCAACAATACATTGTATGGGTCAAAATTATCCATTTTTCTTTTATGCAAAAAATCATTAGGATATTAAGTAAAGATCATGTTCCATGAAGATATTTTGTAAATTTCCTACCATAAATATATCAAAACTTAATTTTTGATTAGTAATATGCATTGTTAAGAACTTCATTTGGACAACTTTAAAGATGATTTTCTCAATATTTAGATTTTTTTGCACCCTCAGATTCCAGATTTTCAAATAGTTGTATCTCAGCCAAATATTGTCCTATCCTAACAAACCATACATCAATGGAAAGCTTATTTATTCAACTTTCAGATTATGTATACATCTCAATTTCTAAATAATTGACCCTTATGACTGGTTTTGTGGTTCAGGGTAGCAAATAATTCACACCTGCTTCTCCAGCTGAAAATTGTTAAAAAATAATGTCACACTGTTCAGCTTCGCTCGTCTCCTAAACAACGAAAAGATGATATTAAATCAAATATTTTTTGATGACTCATTCACTGTGAAGGCTAATGAATTGTTTGCTCACCCTTCATTGTCCAGAGAGTCTAATGAGTCCATCAGTCCGTTTTCCAGAACTTGTGAAGGTCTGAGAAAAGAAACAAATGGGAATTACAGTATTTATCTGAACTGCAAAGCAAACTGAGTGAAAGTCAGCTCTGATCTCTTCTTGGTGGATTCTGGTACGTGATCCAAAGTAAGTACATTGTTTGATACGTATGCAAACTACATTTATATCGCTGAAGCGAATGAATAAACCTTTCATTTTCACCTTGGAGTGTTGATCTCTGGGAGCTCCTGCTGATGACAAAATAAAGGAATGACAGGAATTAATATGCACCGTTTATGTTTTCAGTAAATGATTCAGTATTATTGGATGGTGATCACGATTGACACTGACCGTGGCTGGCTGTGATTGGCTGGCGCTGCTGTCAGCAGTGGGCGGGGCTGCGAGCGAAGCCTCTGGTTGGTTGAGTCCAGAAAACGGTTTGACGGTTTTCCAGGACTGCAGGTACTGCGACATCCGAACCGATGCGCGGAGCTTCTGATGATTCGCCAGTATGTTGTCCACCTTCAGCTCATTAGTCTGAGACACATGAAAACAACCAGAGGCACATTAATACTTCTATTCATCAGAGACGCATTAAACCGACGAAAAGTGACAGTAAAAACATTTATAAAGTTACAAAAGATTTCTATTTCAAATATGATGCTGGAAATTCAGCTTTTATCACAGCAATCAATTACAATTTAACAGATATTCACATAGAAAACAGCTGTTTTTAGATCGTAATAATATTTCACAATTTTTACTGTATGTTTTGTTTAAATAAATGCAGCCTTGGTGAGCAGAAGAGACTTCTTTCAAAAACTTCAAAAAGACAAATACACACAAAAAACAAAAGTATTCACAACAAAACAAGATGAACTTGAATAAATTGTTGCAGAAAAGTATTACTACTTTACGTATTATTAAAAAACACTGTTGTGCACACTTGATTTGACATAGAAATTCAATAGTAAGTCACTACTTAATGGGTTAGTTTACCCAAAAATGATAATTAGGCTGTGTTTTACTCACCCCTGAGGCATCCTAGGTGTATATGACTTTCTTCTTTCAGACGAATCCAGTCGGAGTTACATTAAAAATTGTCCTGGCTATTCCAAGCTCTATCATTGCAGTCAGCGGGTGTTGCATTGCTTCAGTCCCAAAGAAGTGAAATAAAAAGGTCACTGCAACACCCGCTGAATGGCATTAAACAGCTTGAAAGATCAAAGACAAATTTTAATATAACTCCAACTGGATTCGTCTGAAAGAAGAAAGTCATATACACCTAGGATGCCTCGAGGGTGAGTAAAACACAGCCTAATTTTCATTTTTGGGTGAACTAACCCTTTAAGCTACTAACCATTAGTCATTAAATGTTTGAAATTGCAACAAGGATTATTAAACCTTAAAATTTCAAAAACACACAGAAAAACGCAAAGCTATTTGCAACAAACCAGAAAACAAATAAATTACTATTGAATAAACAATAAAAACAAACAAACAAAACCTGAAGCACTTCATTTGACAAAAAAAAAAAGAAAAGAAATTGTTATATCTCCTATTTGATTGCATTTTAAAAGTATTGTTAAAAATTGTTAAAATTGTATTAATTCAACTGTTTAGACAGAATTTTGGAAAGATCAAATGTATGCATGTTCCGATGCTAGATAACTGATCTATATAGTCAATAATGATTATTGAAGGTGACCTGAGGTGTTATATCGTAGTTTTCTTTATTAGGATCGATGACCAGGAACGTTCTCCTTCCCTTCAGCGTAGAATCGCGGCTCCCGCCGTTTCCGTCCTCCACCTGGTATTTCCCGTCCAGGTGAGCGAACGTCTCCTCCGTGATGTGGACCCTCCTGTGAGGAACCATCATCATCATCATCATCATCAACATCATCGTCACTGATAATACTGCAGTAATCAAGTACCCAGCCACTCCTCCAGACTCCATGTGATTGGCTAGAGTCACGTCATCTGACCAGACGTCATACTGCCACTTCTGAAGGCCGATCACGCCACACAGAACGTTCCCCGTGTGAACACCCACACGCATGTTAATGTTCACGTCCGTCGCCTCCCTCAGCTTACTGCAGGGGTCAAAGGTCACAAATAACCACACTTCAAGACGGAAACATTTTCGTTAAAAAAAAAATCAACTGAAATAAAATAAGATAAACTTATTTTATTTCAGCTAATTACCATGGTGACATTTAGTAAAAAATAAACTAACAAACTAAAAATAATAAATAAACATTATATAGACATTTAACAACTGAATAAAAATGACAAAAACACAACAAAATTACTACATTTTTAGTTAAAACAAAAAATATAGAATAGAATTATAAACTCAAATTCAAAATATTTATTAAAACTATAATAATATATCAATGATACTAAAATAACGCTGATGCAAAGATAATTTTTGGATTGTACTTTGTTTGGATCGACGGTCTAAATGTAGGCTGTTTCACCAGATAAAAAAAGAGTTGATGGTAAAATTAATAACACAATTAATTTAAAAAATAGATACAAATTAAACATTCATAAAATAAAATGAAAATGAAAATGAAAAAATATTTGAAAATAATAATAAAAAATATAAAAATAAAATATTATTAACTAGTGCTGTCAAACGATTAATCACGATTAATCACATCCCGAATAAAAAAAATTCTGTACTGTATATATTTTTTATGTATATGTAAATACACACACATGCATGTATATATTTCAGAAAAATATGTTGTTTATATATTAAATATATTTATATATGATATAAATTATATGAATATAAACATAGACATATAAATACATATAAATATTTCCAAAATATGTACTGTATGTGTGTGTATTTATATATACATAATAAATATACACAGCACACACACATATATTATGCAAAAAAAAACTCTTATTTTGTATGCGATTAATTGCGATTAATCGTTTGACAGCACTATTATTAACACAACAATAAAAATTGACAAAAAATTACTAAAAATTTAACTAAAGTGGAAACAGAGAATATGAGCATTAATAAAAATAAAGAGTTAATTAAAAAGTATTAAAATAATAAAATAATCATTTAAAAGTATTATTAGCAATATAATAATAATAATAAAAAATAAAAAAAATGCAAAAAACACAATTACAACACATTACAAAAATTTCAACTAAAGTGAAAACAGAAAATATTACAATAATTTAAAACGATCATAGTCTATCGACGATACTATTATAAGACTGATACTGAGATGATGATTTTTGGATGGTGGGACGCACTTTATGGCCGTGCACATGTCCAGACCCATCTGAACGCAGTTGCGAGCGTGATGAGAGATGGGGTCAGGGAGACCCGACACGCAGTAATAACAGTCACCCAGGATTTTAATACGCAGACAGCCGTTCTTCTGCAGAGAGAAGTCAGAGAAGAGAAAGAGCTGAGTACATAAACCCAAGAGAAACACAGAGAAGAGCAGAAAGGCAGATCTGCACACCTTAGCGATGTCGTCGAAGCGGCCGAAGAGTTTGTTGAGGACGGCCACGAGCTCCTCAGGTGTGCAGGTGCTGGAGAGGTGCGTGAAGCCCACGATATCAGCGTACAGGATACTGCAGAGACAAAATATCACTTTAATAGACTACACTCGCTGGCTGTGAGGGGCTGGGCTTTGTGTGTAATCAGTGCACTTAACCTCATAGAAAAACAACGTAAATGTGCATGTGTGTGTATTTCTACGTGTTTTTCTGTGTGTGTTTCTTTGCTTTTTGTGTTTTTGCTTGAGTGTCTGTGTGTTTTTGTGTGCATGTGTATTTCTGTTTTTTTATTTATGTGTTATTGAATGTGTGTGAGAGAGTGTGAAATTTCTAAGTGTTTTTGTGTGAGTGTTTTTCTGTGTGTGTGTGTGTGTGTGTGTGTGAAAGTGTGTGTGCATGTGTGTGTGAGTGATTGTGAGTGTGTGTGTGTGTGTGAGTGTTTTTCCTGTGTGTGTGTGTGTGTGTGTGTGTGTGTGT